TTGTCAGAGTTTACAAACACCTCCATAGGTTTTTTTTCAATTAGTTTGAAAGTGTGAGATTGTAACATTTTTGTCCGTTTTTCCTAATGGGTACTATAACATAGCAATGTTTCACAAAAAATAAACACCTAAAATATTTAATGAATATAGATGCATGATACATTATATATACAGTATGGAAAAGAAGATTAGAATTGATTTCGCTCGAGAACCAAACTGAACCAAAATTAATCTAATTCAAAATTTCAATATATCGGTACATAAAACGAAACTGACAAAATAAGTGGTTGTTTGCAGGAAAAAAAATAACGTCCCATGCCAGACTCGAACCAAAAACTTTTCGATTCCAGTGCACTGAACAGGTAGCCCAATTTATTGAGCTATCACCGTTAAACATGCACAGATGATTTTAAAAGGGCAAAGAAGCACCACATTCTCACATTTGAATTTTTTAGGGAAAAGTTCGTTTTTCATGGTCTCTGGGTCTTCTCTCCATTTTTTAAAAAAGTGTATTCGTTTCTTTGAATTAAAATACACACAAATAACGTTTCAAAATCATGGAGAGAAGACCCAGAGATAGAAAATTTTTTAGAAAAACGTGTTTAAAAATGTATCATTTTGTACCAAATGTGTGATCTGGCCAATTTTCAAGTTATTTTTTAGCAAATCAAAGCTCAATTTTGGGAAAGTATTTTCCTTTCCTGTTGCACAGGAAACCGATAAATAAAAAAAAATGTTAGAATTTCATGTGACATGTAGATAAAATTTTCACTTTTCAATTTCGCTCAGATTCCTGCCGAATACCAATCAAAAGCGCCCTCGTTCTTTAGTCAGAAGATAATGTGCTTGCAAATCCTCTTCTTTTAGATTTGTCTCTGTAACAGGGTAGCGTAACTTTGATATCCATTATCAATATTCAATCAGAATTGCTTACGTTTGATATTTATGAAAAATGTTTTCAGATAAACTCGCTGCATTTTTAGACGAAACATTGAAGAAAATGGCTTTATTAACAATTCTCGACTAATAACAAATAAAAAGGAAATCGCAGTACTCTCTTTGTATTGTCTGTAAAATCAAGAGAAATAAATAAAATAAAGTCTCTTTCTTTACCAGCTCTTGCTTTGTGTTTATTGCCAAAAGGTACCCATCCATATTTGTGATAAGTTGTCGGCAGATATCACGTGATTCGAACCACGTGGCTTCGACATTCTGAGTGGTGTTGCTGATGAAATAACAACTAAATTCATCTTCTTCAGGGGAGGGAATCCATCCAGCAGGACATGGAGCATCTGTTTAAAAGTACATTGTATAAAATTACTACAAGTCTTAGAATATTTGCATACAGAACAGGGTTTTCTTCAGTCAACATCAGGTTTTGTCCTTTGTTTATATTTCACTTGTCAATAATATATTAATATATGTACATGTACTTTTAAAATTGTTAAACGATATATCAAATCTTTTTATTAGAGTTTATTTTTTAAATCCTTCTTTATCTTAACCTTCAGATTGCAATTCACAGATATAAGGCAGTGGTTTATAGCAGGAGAAGTCGTTAAAGGTTCCGTCCTGGAGAATGAGACCACAGTCCTCTTCTCCTGCAAAGTCGTTAGGTTCAGCATTCCACCTCCTGCAATTAACAAGTCAATAAGAAGAGGAAAAATGGATGCAAGATACAGGATTCTCTGCGTTTGTATTCCTCTTTAAATAATAGCAATATTCTCACACTAAATCCATATTAGCCTTGTGTTCATTGGTCCAGTACCAGGTTTTGTCATGAGGGTGGAAGTGGAGTCCAGACCAAAAGGCGAAAGCCCGGTACTGCATTGTGATATACTGTATCCAGTCCTTGAAATCACAAAAGAAAAACCAGAAGTCTCTGTCGAGACTGAAGCTCTACTGGTTTGTACTTATAGCAAAGGAAGAGAAAAGTACTTAAGCAGTTAGAAATTGAAACTTTTCAACAGCAATAAATAGAATAATGATCCTTGATTAAGTCTCTTTATGTTCTTAGTGCAGTCTACTTGCATGCCACATTTATATTATAATCAGACTAAAATTGTATTTGGAGTAGCATTTTGAAAGAATTTCACAGAAATTTCTATTTTTAGTAACCACGGCAACACCGTTCATCGAAATCAAAAACCGATATACAGTATTATGTATCTTAGTGTAGTCTACTTGTGTGCCAAGTTATATTGAAATCAGACTAAAACTGTAGAAGGAGTAGTATTTTGAAAGAATTTCACAGAAATTTCTATTTTTAGTAACCATGGCAACACCATTCATCGAAATCAAAAAACCGATATACAGTATTATGTATCTTATTGTAGTCTACTTGTGTGCCAAGTTATATTGAAATCAGACCAAAACTGTAGAAGGAGTAGCATTTTGAAAGAATTTCACAGAAATTTCTATTTTTAGTAACCACGGCAACACCGTTCATCGAAATCAAAAACTGATAAACAGAATTATGTATCTTAGTGTAGTCTACTTGTATGCCAATTTATATTGAAATCAGACTAAAACTGTAGAAGGAGTAGCATTTTGAAAGAATTTCACAGAAATTTCTATTTTTAGTAACCACGGCACCACCGTTCATCGAAATCAAAAACCGATATACAGAATTATATATCTTAGTGTAGTCTACTTGTGTGCAAAGTTATATTGAAATCAGACCAAAACTGTAGGAGGAGTAGCATTTTGAAAAATTGTTTACAGACAGACAGACAGACGGACGGACGACGGACGCATTACTATCGCATAAGCTCTTCTGGTCTCTGACCAGTAGAGCTAAAAATTACAAAATGGAATTTGTAAAATACTGCATAAAAAGTGTCAAGAACTAGAGCATAGGGCTAACATATGCATTTTTGCATTTGAAATACCAATACATTTATATTTTTAAAACTGTTACAGAAATTTTTGATGTTAAGCTTTACTCTCTCGTCTTTGGTAGTGATTTGCAGGAGTCGGGTGTTGGCTTTCTGACATGCGTCATTTGAGTCCTTCCATGTGTGTCTAGCCGCAGTGTTAAACTTATAGCATTTGTACCCAGCACGTATCATGTTGTTTGGACATCCCAGTTCGTTCAAAACAGGGAGACTAGCTGTTGAAATGGATTTATAATAAGTTTAGTTTCAATCATATATGCGGAGATAACAGACAGTATTCGAGCTCATACGTCCATAAAACAATACAAAATAGGAGCGGAGCAAACACGGACCTCCAAAACATCATGAGATGGGATCAGGTTCCATGGTGGAGTGAGCATCCCCTGCATATTTTATTCACACATTGACATTTATATTATCCATATATATTATAATTATTTTTTCTCCCAATGAAAAACATTTATTACTACCTTGTTTTACCTGTATTTGAGATCTTCCTCACCTGTGATAGGAGTTTTACACACATAATAAGCCAGAGTGTCACACGACTCATCCCCAAACCTCCCATTGTTATAGATCAGACCACAGTGCTGGTTCCCTCCGAGATTGTTTGGCTCGTTCGCCCAAATTCTGAAAATTTGAAATTCTGACAATAAATGTTTATTCAATTTACAGTTAGTTTCACGCTCCCTAATGTGACAGATAATACATGATGTACCATATCATTGTTATGTTGGATTTAAAATAAAATTTGCTTGTCCAGTTTTCGTTCAATATTGTTTGTTCATTTTTCTATATTTCTTGCTTTCTTTTCTTAGAGATTTGAGAACCTCTTTGCAAGTGTTTGCTTACAGTAAATTCTGGTTGACCTTTTGACCGTTCCCCCATACCCACTGGCCTTCCACCGCCTGGTCACTCATCCCTATCCACCATAACTGACTCGTCTCGGACATAGTGGACAGCAACCGTCCAAGTGTCATCTGCAGATAATGTCATTTCATTCTTTAAACGATAGCGATGGTTATATTTACTGGTTTGCTTAAACAGAAAAATAGAGTACCAATTCTTGTTTGGTTTCGATTCTGGCTAGATATGTTGGATAGTTAGTAGAGATTTGGTTGTTTATACAGGTGTCACTGGCAGACTTCCAGGAATAGACGTCAAACTGATTACCAAACAGGTAACAGGACGTGTTCGACTGGGTCCAACCGCTTATACATCCGGTACCTGTAATTAATACATACGGAACGTACATTTTGTTGACTTGTCACTGCATGCTCACTTAATTATTCAAATATTTTTGTAAATTCGTATTTTATTCTGAAGGTTTTCTTTTCATTTTGGAAAAAAAGACTCACTTGATGTATACTCGCAGACGTAGCTGTGTTTTTCTGAGCAGTCTTCGTCACTGACGGTACCTTGAAAGTTGAGAGCACCACAGTTTTCCAAATGACGGGTATCGTCTGGCTCCGTGTTCCATACACTGATAGAGTAAATACGGGTTCGAAATAGTTTCGTGCTAATATAAACATATCTCCTGTTTTCCAAAACATTTTTTTGTTAAATTATAAGCCATTGTCGTACAAAAGCACGAAACTTTTGATGTTGCCAATCATGTATCTAGTTAGCAAAATTATTGTGACGATGACTTTTTTTTTTAAAAATTTAATGATGATAATTATGATATGGTCAATAAATAATGATAATGAAAATAATATATAAATGTAAGGATTTGATGATTGAAATATTGTTGATGGTTATTAGAATACTAATATACAGTTAAAATATTGATGATGACGAAGTCAACGATGATAATGATTTTTATATTCGCTGTTCCTTATCTTCGCCTTCTTCATTTGGTTGTGGAGGTTATTTGATTGATGGGGATGATACTTATAATGAAATGGGAATTATGAAGAAATACTAAAAAATATTAATTGATAATCATTAGATAAAACCTATGCGTTTATCTTTTTGATGAATGTTGGAATATATAAATGATTGTGATTTGAATGATGAGAGACATTGATGGGTTAGTTACACGGCGTTGCCTGTGGCCAGTGTTGACGCCGCGTTATTGCCCCAAGTCCAGGCCCCTGCGTGGTTAGTGTCCGTCAGGGAAGTCCACCACCTCTCCCTGACCATTGTCTGATTGTTCAGGACCTTTATAAAGTCAAGCTGGAAAAAATAATGAAATCAATTGTTAAAGCTCTAATGTTTAGCATGTATATAGTCTACAGATCATTTGTTTGTTTGTTTGTTTGTTTATTCAGGAAATGGCACAAGTCATATATGAAACATAAGATAGAAACATTAGAACATAATTGGCACATGGAATCAAAGAAATCATAAGATTTCGTAAAAAATACAATTGTAATAAAACACTGGCATCATTTCATAAAAAACAAGTACTTAAGAAAAAGCATTTAATTCAGTATATCTAAAAGAGATGGATGTTGATGGATATTAATGGGGATCTTTTACATTCTACATTCGCGGTTTATATTTTGCGTAAACTGCCCCAACCCAGTTTATACCGTATAAAATGGGTAGCTATTAAATTCATTCCTTAATTGTAGGAACGTCTATATGTACAAGATAAGTGATAGGTACAGATACTAAAAAGTTTGTTTCCTTTTATATAAGATTGAATATACTTATTTAACTCATCAAGTAACTGGATTTTTAAGCGAGTTAATTTTTTTAAATTTAATTTTGTAGGTGAAAATTTAACAACGTTACCCTTTCATCTTCGTTATAAAAATAAAGCAGATCTGAGTCCAGCTGTCCACATTCTGTGAAGGCCTCGCTATACTTAAGCTTTTGATTACTAAATAGATAGCATGAGCCATTGTACGTAACCCAGCCTCTGCCTAAAGGACAGGAGGGGTAACACAAAACACCTGAAAAGAGAGGTGAGTATGTAACAATAGATGGCATATCTCTACCTGGCCTGAAAACGGGGTAAGGAGGGGTGTATGTTAAGCATATGTTTGTTATACAGTCACAAGTAAACAGGAGGGGAACCCAAAACGTCTGAATAAAAAGCATGTATTTTTAGACTGTTCAAATCGATGTTAAAGTAATATCGAAGAGAGTGTCTTCCTTTTTGCAAACTAACAACTAAACTTTGAGAAAAGGAAGAATATACTTTTCAATCGTTAACTTCCGTTATTTATGTTCCAATATACTAATTTTCAACTGCATCGCGGTATAAAGTTTATGTCTGTCTTCAAGTTGATTCAATATGCAGGCGACAGTCGACAGCTAGAGGATGTTCACTCCTTCATGACACCTGATCCCACCTCTATTTCCAAAGGTTCGTGTGGACTGTGTTCATCATCTTCAACCTCTGAGCATGTTAACTGTTCGTTACCTTAAAGTGTTTACTCATCATTGATAAAAACGCTAAATTATTGTTAGAAAAAATAAATGTTACTGAATTAAGTCGGTTTAAGAGTAAGTTTTAGAACAGCAGTGTTTGCTGTTATCATAAAGACACAATAGGAATCTATCGTGAAATATCGTTACAGTTTAACAGTAAGTATCTTTCGCTTAATTAAGCTGAAGGTTGATGCAGACAGGTTTTTGGTGGGTGGGTGTGGTGGTGGTGTTGCATCAATTTTAGAGAAAGATGCATTTAATATCAAAACATGAATCGTTTTTAAAAGTAATATTTGACAAGTCGTATCCAACACAAGCATAACAATGGGGTATGATGTGTACTATAATTTGTAGAATGAACATTGATTTTATCTTTACCTTAGATAACGATTTTACCATCTATAAGCGTGGTGATGTATCAATGAACAATATTGTTACCGGTATATGTTTTATCTATTATCAATATTTAGCTTATTCTTTTCATATCGGTTAAAAAAGCACAGAAAAGAAAAAAATCCCTCAATATTCCTAACTGCCAAAACATTTTAAACAAGAGTCAGAAATAACATGTTATTTCATTTAACTTTCTGTATTTCTTTCAAGCTATATCAAAAATATTTTTCAAAAATCATTTACAAAAATAAATTTTTACTTACCTTTATATAATAGAATTACCGTAAATATCACAGATTTAATTAAATACAACATAATTAATCCTAAATTAGGTTATTGTCAATGACTCCAGGTATACATCGTTTACCGATTTATCAGTCATCATATCAGTAAAGGAAATATGAATTTTAAGGAGTGGATCTAATTTTTTTTCTCGCCGGGAATAGAGCTTACTCTATTGATTTTTTTTTTTTCCACTCAAGAAACAAATGGGATATTAATAATAAAAAAGAAATGTATAAGGCTAAATTTTCTAACTCAGACATAACAAATACAAATTACGAACCCATACCTGCATGTACCTGTTCAATGATGCACAAGTTTACTTGTATAATTATGAAACGCTTTAAATTCACTGTAGATAATGAAATGCGGGCCATTTTTATTATTAAAGATGAATTGGAACATCAATGTATCTGATCTAAATGTGCCATTTCTATTCTTACATGTAACAAAATTTTAATAATTGTCATAAATACATGTGTATATATCTATACCACTTAGTGAGAGGAATTCGAATGGGGAAAACTTCTGGAATGGTGGATAGAAAATTCATCCTGAAATTTAGGATTTTTTTCTGAAAACTTCTTAATTCGTTCAGGAAATTGTTTCAGTTTGTTGGGAGGGGTGGAGAGTCTTACAGGAATTTTTGGTAAGCCACCTTATTTTTTCTAATCGGATATTAACCCCCACCCCCTCCTCGGGTTTACGGGCCTGTAGTCTACATTTTGGAATACTTTATACGAATAATCTTCAAAAGAGATATTCAAAATTTCCGAACACAACGTTACAAGCTGTGAATAATATCAAATTATAAACTATTTCATTAAATTCGTAGAAGACACGATATAAAAATGAGGTAATAATTCTTCTTACCCCCCCCCCCCTCCCCGACAAAAAAACCCCCAAAGAAACGAGTTACTGCGAGTTTTTAATGTTCCATCTGATAGTTTTTTGACTGTCAGTTGATTATATACTTCATAGCATAGCACTGTGCTATGAAGTATGTAACAACTGCCAGTCAGCCACTTTGAGGAACGAAAGATCTACTTCTACACTTCCTAGCTTATCATAATAACAGTATTAATGTATCCAAATGGATCTTTGCTTTGAGAATGGTCAGAAATTCAACACTTCAATTCTTTTGAAAGCTATTTAAGGACCATATAATTTGTTGAATAGCATAAACCATAGACCTAGGTCTTATGCATAAACTAAAGTATTCAGGTCTACAGCGTTTTACGTGTTACTAGTCCAAACGTTTAAGCGCCTAGATGATTAAGATTGTCAATATGGCTGCGGTAGGTGCACATGCGACTTTCTGTTTCAGTTTGAATCTGATTTTTCTTATTGTATTGTTTTGTATTGCTGATATATTTATCTTAAAAATTACCGATGTCTTTATTCTATGTTGAACTTGTTTTTAAAATAGAAATTCTGTTTTCATTTCAGTACTTTTTGGGCTTTAAAATTTTCTCATTCTTTAATACAGAAGAAGTCAGCAAAACGTGGAGGTAAAAGAAAAGGTTACAAAGCCAGTTCTGTCAAGTTATCCAATAAAAGGACATCTAAACTCGCCAAACAAGGGAAACTGAAACCAAAAAAAAAGAAGAAAGGATTGGCAGATGTAAATCAACAAAACGAGAGGAGGGACAATATTCAAGTAAATGGGAGAGGGGTGGAATCTGAAGAGAGTGATTTAGGTGAAGAAGACATAGAGTTTTATGGTACACCAGGAAATGCCCAAGGCTTTATAAATGCTGCAAAGTCTAGGTTTGTACAACATATGTTTCAAAGTCATTTTGACCCCAAAGGTACACACAAGGAGAGATACAAAATATTATGTATAGGGAGGCACTATGCCATTGACATCTTTTTCACATTTTGTTCTGGATTTGGAATATATAAGGCCATCCTTAAAAAATATATTTTTTGCGGTAACGCGCCTCATCATTTTAGGTGTGAGTAGGTAGGTAGGCTTTTTTTTTTTTTTGAGATAAATTGTCAGAAATAAATTTCGATGATATAGAGGTATTAACTATGTCTCAATTTTCACCTTACTTATCAAACAGGAAAATTAAAGCATTCTAAATGAATTCAATCTTTTATTGCTCAAATATCAGAACACATCAGTTCTTTTTAGACAAACTTTTTCTAAGAAAGTGACTCTCATCAGCCACGTACCTCAAATAACTGACTCCACACTAATCTAGTGTTTCGGGGGTGAGATATTTACGAGGTTTAAGATTTTGATAGTTTATTAATTAGCTGCAAATCCGCAATCATCCCACGTGGAATTTTTTCTGCCACCAATTTCGTGGCGATCTCGTAAACATCATACCATGTATCTGTAAGGTGGAACTGACGCACAACATTTTTTTTGCCTAGTAATTAAGATGTTTTTCCTTTAAAATTTACTGTAACTGACAGAACTATAGAGTCAATATTTCCCACAACCTTCTCGGACGCCATCTCTAAATTTGTAATCACAAAGACGTTTTAAAAGTACTTGGGGGAAAGATAAAGCTTCGGTGTAACCGAGACGTAAAAAAAAAAATCAATCGGATAAAAACGGAAAATGGATACGTAAAAAAAAAAGACAGATTTTTGAACCGATAAAAAAAATCCAGTCGGGTGGATTTTGCTGAGTCGGTCGCGTTACAGCAAAAAAACAATTTTTTAAGGATGGCCTACTGAATGTAAAATGTCAGTTTCTTTTTGATTACAGTAAAACTCGTTCAGTACGAACATGGATATTGCGAATTCATGGATATAGCGAAGTCATCTCGGATCCCCAGCTTTATAAGTTTAATGAGTTTATTATATGGTTATAAAGAATTACGGATATAGCAAAGTAATTTCATAGGTAACAGTGACTTCGTTATAATGGAGTTTTGCTGTATCACCAATAAAGTTTTTTTCATCATGCATTTAATCAAAAAAGTTCACCTATAAATATTCTATAAGCATGTATCTGTACTCTATTATGTATTTGTGCCATAATTCATAACCTTCCTTATGTTACTTTAGAACGTTATCTAAAGAGGTGGTAAAAAGTGGAAAGAAAAGAAAGAAGAAGGACCCAGATGAGGGAGAAGAAGAGCAGTATGAACAGAGACCTCGTAAACTGTTTGCTAACGATGAAAATGTTAAGTCACTGCTGCCCATAAAAACAAAGAAAGGTGTCATACCACAAGTGACTCTTGCCATTCCAGAAGGTGCGCATGAGTTTACAAGTAAATAAAGAGATAATAATTAATCTCTAAATGATTACAAGTCAATACTTATGATTAAAATCTGATCACTAATTTCATTTGTTACTGAGGTAAATGTTTCTACACTTTCAATATTAGAATACTGCTCACCATTGTTTTATCTTAGATAGTTAGATTTTCAAGTGAAGTTTACTTAGTTTTGTCTCACTCAGAAGTGTTTTATTTAGTAGATTTTTAAAATCATGGTTAATTTAAATTTTGAAAAAAGTTTGTGAAGATGAACCTGCAGTTAAGGAGGAAGAAATTAATGAGCCAGAAGCAAGCCCAACAGAGAAGGAGGAAGAGTTACCAACCCTGACAAATGTAGAACTGTATGCTAACAGACAGGAAAAGCTGCGGGCTCGGAAATCAAGGATAGCTGCCCTGGCAAGCTCCCTCATAGAGAATCCTGAGGAAAATGTAAGCATGGTGATCTTAATAGCTGTCCATGACAGCTTTCCTGTATCTAAATGAAGAGATTATTACATAAGAGCAGCAGCTTATCTATTAATATTCTCAGTATTACTTATTTTATCATCAACAACAAACTACTTAAAAATTGCATGATAGTTCATTGTTTTGTCAAGATTTTTCATATTTCATATTTCAGATTAAAAAGCTGAAGGAGTT